AATATCCACAGACACTGTTGTGCCCTGCCCAACATGAAAGGAAGTGTGAAAGAAGAGAAATGAAAAAAGACAATGCTTTTAGGCACTAATGGCTAATTATCTTATATACACATGTTTTCCTAAAATGTATGATCATGAGAACACAGCACACATACATGTACACATATCCTGCCTGCTGCAGGGTCTTGTATGAGGCACATGCAAGTAAGAATACCTACAACCTAAGCTCAAAAAATATAAATATTATAAGGAGAGTTAATTCAGAGAAATATTAATATTTTTTTTTTGGATCGTGTGAGATTTGGGTCATGTGTCAACTTTCTAAAACAGTCTAAATTTACTTCCATACTTAATTTTATATTCACAATTTTGTATTATTTTTCTTAAAAAGTCTGATAAAACTTCAGACTCCATATATTCCAGATGCTCTTATGAGGTCTTAGTGAGATTGAAATATATTTGAGGATACCACAGGTTATGAGTTATAAAGAAAGGAGGTGGTATAATGCATAAGATTGAGGTGTTGTAGGACTGCAGGATCATTGCAAAGTGGGTGTTCAAGGAGCTGAAAGGTCAAGAGTGTCACAGAATCCTTTATGTGTGCTTGGAAATCTGACAGATTAAGGCAGGGGTTATGCTGGAGAAAATGACACCAAGGAAGGAGCTCACATCTTTGTGGAGCGTGTGTTTTACCTGGATTTTAGCAGATTACAGCAACCATGAGGCGAATTGTGTAGTAAATGATAAGAAATACCATGAAATTGAAATTTGAGGGCTTTCAGGGAAGGTAGAGGAGAAGGGTCTGAACAAAGGGGCACCCTCTTACCTATTCCACTCACCCAACTAGAGGCAGGAGGGAGAGAGGCACTTTTCACAGTGCAGGAGAACTCTCATTGAGAGTATGTAGAGCAGCAGTGTCCTCCAGAAAAAGAGGTGTGTGTTTGAACAAGAAAAGTGAAGAGTGCTTGCAGAAGTGATTTTTTTGGCTCACTGGAAGGGTTTCAGTAGTTGGGTAGAAAACGGAACAACAAAGACAATATTTACCAGCTTCATATATATTAAATGTCTTGTAAAAATAATGAAACATACTACCTTTTCTCTTTCTTGACCTGATAAAATAGATAAGGATGCCACAGGTAATTATTGTTCTATATTTCCTCTTTTTTCCATAAAAGTTAGCTATTTATTTATTCTCTACTCATATATTTCCTTATTATAATTTGCTATTCTTTTAAAATTATTTTTCTATCCTTTCATATCCTGCTTACCTTAATCTTTTCTCAGTCACCTTCTTTCCTGTTAATTTTTTGGCCTTTACTATTTTTCTCATCTTATTTTGAAATCACACCACCTACTGCATTCCTGCCCCTGGCACTTCTCTTTAGCTATGGGTGGAAAGGTGCAGTGTGCCATCACAGAGGCAGTGCTACGTTAGACAAGAAATGCTTCAGCCAGAAAGGAGCTGCAGGAGGAAAGGCAGTTTTCCAGATTCTGGGAAGCAATGTTTTCTCCGGGTGATGCTAACATTGCCACCTACACTTCCAACAGTTTCTTCCTCAACACTTGGGAGGTGGCAAGTGGTTACTTCCCCAAACTCCCTGTGCTCTGCTGATCTGCTTAAACTCTAAATGGGGTTGAGTAGATTTATTCCTTAATTGTGCGACTTAAAATAAGACTTAACTGTTTTGAAACTTTCGTTTTACAAATTATGCAAAATACTTTATAAAAGATGTAGATATGAATATTTTCATTTTATCCATGATCTCATTGGCTTAGAAATATAAAGTTAATTTTTTAAAGTTATATGTATAGTAGAAACAAGATTGAGAAGTGAGCACTTTACACTTTCAAATTACTACTTTTAAGTTATATATTTCTTATATAACATAATGTAATACTGTGATAAATAAAATAATAACCAGGACCAGATACTGATACCAGGTATCAGTTCACTTCCCTTTATTTCCTTGTCCAAAATATAGCCTTTGTTATTAGTAAAGAACTTTTTAAGTTAATTGAACCAATAACCATTTTTTTCACTTGCCTACATGGATACAGGACAGAAACCTGAATATAGAATCTATTTTTCAGCTTGTAGTTTTCCAGAGGATTGAGCTATAATTATCTTCAGAATTATAAAGGATTAATATCCTGTACTAAAATATGTATAATATCAGATATTCCTCTAGGATTAGAAGAATGCCAATTTCACTTCCAGTCCTACTAGAATTTGGAAGTATTCTGATCCTGCCTCACAAAAATAAGTATTTTCTATTTTATTTTTTTCATGAATTATGGAAAATTACATAGATTAAGTATAAACATGGCCATTAAGGAAGGCAAATTCGTTACAATAAAATTAATTTACTCTTTGAAGAAAAACTGTCAGCCTAAATGATATGTATTGAATATTCCTGAAATCTCATGATGTTAATGATATGTCTTTTAAAAGAAGTTTGGTTTAGGCTTTCTTTGCTGAGTTAATTGGTTGGGGCTGCCATAACAAAACACCACAGACTGGATGGCTTAAGCAACAGAAATCTATTTCTCACATTTCTAGAGGTGGGAAATCCAAGATCAAGATGCTTTCAAGTAAGGTAGGTTTGGTTCTGAGACCTCTTCTCTTGGCTTATAGATGGAATCCATCTTGCTGTGTCCTCACAGTACCTCTGTGTGCAGGGAGAGAAAGCAATTGAGGGAGCTCTTTAATCTCTTTTCCCTTAAAGAACACTAATTGGATCCAGGCCACTTATTGACCTCCTTTAAAGTTAATTGCTTACATAAAGGCCTTGTCTCCTAATCCAGTCACAGTCCGGGTTGGGGCTTCAACACGAGAATGTTGGGGGAGAGAAACAATTTGTTACAGCATTTTGTTCACTTTGGCAGAGAAAACGAGTCTTTTTTTTTAAACTAATGCTTTATTATTTTCTTAAGAGAACCCCATACAATTGTCTCATATATAATTTGGTGACTTACACAAATATTTCCTTATTCGCTTATTGTTTTTTTTTTCTTATAAATTTCTCTTGGTACTCTGTGATATGAGCACCTATGAATCTTGACTTCTTAAGAATTAATAGACTTTATGTTTTTAGAGCAGTGTTAGGTCTACAGAGAAATTGCACATAAAGTACCTACAGTTCCTGTATATTTCCTCTCCCTTTGTACATACTTTCTCCTATTAATATTTTGTATTAGTTCAGTACATTTGTTAGAGTTGAATCAATAGTAATAAATCATCATTAACTAATATTCATAGTTTATATTCAAGTTCACTTTGCATTGTATAGTTATGTGGGTTTTAACAAATATGTAATGACATGTATCAGGGTAGTTTAACTTCCCTCCAAATGCCCTGTGCTTCACCTACACCCTTATAACTTTCCTGTGTATATACTGATATTTTTACTGTCTCCATAGTTTTATCTTTTCCAGAATGTTATAAAGTTAGACTCATATTGTTTAGCTTTTTAAGACTATCTTTTTTTCATTTAATATGCATTTGAGCTTCTTCCGTGTCCTTTTGTGATTACCAGCTCATTTGTGTTTATTGCTTAATAATACTTCATTGTATGGATGTACCATAGTTTGTATGTTCATCCACCTATTGAAGGAACATGATTACTTTTATTTTTGACAATTTTGAATAAAACTCTTGTAAGTATTTGTGTGCAGGTATTTTTTTTCAGTAGACATATATTTTCAACTCACTTAAGTAAATATATAATGAATATTAGAATCTAGCCTCAGACCTTACATTTTTCTTTAAAATTAAGACAAAATGGATCAGAGATCTAAATGAAAATCACAAAATTATATAATTTCTATGAAAATTTATTTTGTAAATTTTATATGAAAAGAGAAAGTCTAGGTGACCTTGAATTTGGCCAGGGACAGAATGCTATGGACTAAATGTTGTGGCCCCTCCAAAATTCATATGTTTAATATGGAAGTGGAACCTTTGAGAGCTAAGTCATGAAGGTAGAACCTCATGAATGAAATTAGTGCTCCTAAAGCTGAGACGTGAGAGAGATGATATTCTTTCTGACATGTGAGGATATAGCAAGAAAGCATTCATTCAAAAATCAGAAAGAGATATTTAGGAGCCAAGACCTGGCAATAAGTTGGATTGGCTTTGAAATGACAGGTACATTTACTGAGATAGATGATAAATTAATTGATACTTGGAAAACAGACAAGGATGGGCTCCAAAGACATGTTGAATTTGACATGCATGTAGGAAGGATGTCTAGATGAACATGTCTAGTAGATAGAGGATATATAGGTTGCCAGTCCAAGAGAGAAGTTAAGATGTAGGTCCTAGATTATGCAGCATAGTTATAATTATGAGGTTGAGGACAGAATCCTTGAGATCCCAAACCTTAAATTGGTGAATAGAATAAGCCTTGGCAATGGACTTAATATGAGTTAAACAAAGACTGAGGAGGGAGTTGGCCAAGAGAAAGTAATGTCACAGAGAGGAGAGTAGTCAGTGAGATTCAAGTGCCACCGATAGAAACAGTAGAACTGAAAAAACTCTGTAGGATTTGGCTTAGTAGAAGGATGAGCAAAATCTTTTTTTTTTAAATTAGAGATAGTGGCTTTTTAACACACTGACTTTGAAAGGAAGAGAATTGGTGAGAAAACAAAGTTATTTGAGTGTAGGGAGCAAATAGAACAGATTTTTTTATTCCTAACAAAAGGAATATGATAAAAGTATCAGAAGTAGACTATCTTAACTAATAAGATAGTTAATAAATTAATGATGGTTCAAAATATTCAACCAAATAATGAGTATTATAAATATTTGTGATAGAGCCATGGTATTCTTATTTAAATGTAATGCTAAAATACAGCAACAAGCCCAATAATTATATGTCATAAACACAAAAAATGATTTGTTGGATTGATTGAATTGGTTTCAATTAACATGTAAATCATCATCTTCTGTGCTCTGGAGAAGTATAAAGTTTAATGTGTGCATTTGCTTCCTAATGAAGGTCATCGAACACTGTTTATTGGAGTTCATGTGCCCCTGGGAGGAAGAAAAAGCCATCGACGTCATCGGCATCGTGGTCACAAACACAGAAAAAGAGATAGAGAGAGAGATTCAGGGTTAGAGGATGGACGGGAGTCACCTTCTTTTGGTAAGCAGCATTCTTGTTTTATTGAATTTGTGATTGTAATAATGTACTTGCTCTGCAATCCATAATTAGCAGTAATCCCGCATACTCATAAAGTCATTTATACTATTTTAAAGACTTTGGGAGGATGGGGAGAAAAGGGAACAAGCTTGATCTTTGTTTTTCACTTTAATCTGCTTTGTGAAATTGAAAATTGAATTAATTTTATGATATAGATAATAAAATAAAGTAGTAAAGCTTGTTCATCTATCTATCTATCTATCTATCTATCTATCTATCTATCTACAGTGTTGGGGATTCAACACAGGCCCTTGCCCAGCTATGTAAGCACCCCACCAATGAGCTACATTCCCAATTCTAGTTGTATATAACCTGGATAACTAATATAAAGAATGGCCATTGCTCTAAGTCATTTAAAAATCCAGGCGAAAATATCAAGTTCCCATTCATACTATTGGTAAGGCTACCCAAATTTTACTCTTAGGACCTGAATATTTTGAGTATTTATCCTTCCAAAGTACATATAGCCAAAGTATTACTTTTTGTAGTTTTCAAAAATTCCTGAGTGCCATGAGAACCCATTTGTATGACATAACTAAGAGTCTGGCTGTCAGTTCCTTGACCTTTCTAACTCCTATGACCTTCTGATCTTCTTCACCACTGTGCTAAGCTCACCAACTCACCTATAAGTACTCCATCTCTGAAGTTATTAATTTAACTCAGCCACTGACTATAGTTTCTCTACTTCTTGTTTTCTTGGGCAACAATTTGATCGCTCTACTTTTTTCTATCCACAAATTATTCTTCTTTCCTTATACTATTCCAGTTTCATAGCTTATAATTTTAGCGATAGTTATGCCATTATTCTAAATACCTTAGGTCCTCTATTTTAGTTTTATTCATATTTTTATTCCCTTTTATAAACCATACTCATGTTGAAGTTCCCCCATGTCCCTACTTCCTTTCTGCATTCATAAGTAGACAGAGCATGGTGAAAATAATAATTCATCAGGGAAGATAGTAACCATTATATATTCTTGACTCAAGGGAACCTTCAACACCTCCTTTCAATTTTATTGCATTTCTTTGGTGTTTAAAATAATTATTTTTCTACCTCCTTCACCATTTTCTGGCATCTCCTATTTTCACCATCATTTAGCAGATTGTCTTGTCTTCTACCTCAGAGAGAAAAACTCTCATCCAAAAGAACTCACTTAACTTCCCTTCTATTAAATATTCAGACCTATATGTCCATATCACAACCAACCTCATTTCTTATAATAAACTAAAGAATACTTTTAATTCTTTCTTATAATTTCTAGAAATGTATATAATTTATAATCTAATTGACTTTCCCTTTTCAACTTTATTTTTGCAGCACTGGGTGTTGAACTTAGAGCCTTGTGCATATGAGGCAAGCACTTTACCACTGAGCTACATTCCCAGTCCTCAGCACATTTTTAAACAGGAACCTCTCCTGTTTTAAATAGTTTCTCAACCTTCCTTAGCCCGCATTCTCCCTTTAGTAATTCAGACATGAAATAAATTAACTGCATAAAAATCTGGGGTAATACTTTCACTTTTAAAAGCTATAGATACTGCTTTGTTCAATATTTGTTTTTACTGAATATTACAGAAAATTCTGTTTAAGTGCTGCATTTTTTTTCATCTTTTAAGTTCATGCCGTCTAAATCTGAATGCTTATAGACATTTTTTCTGTGTGTCTTTAATTAAGAAAACTTGCAGAGATAGATCTAATAGTAGGTATACTAAAAAAGCCTTTCCAATTTACATACTTTGATATTTTTCCACTTAGGAAAAATTTTCCTATTCTATTGATTCTATTCCATTTGCTTTGATCTCTTCATTTTGAATATTAGTTATTTGCATGTTAGATTTCCAGTGTCTGCTTTTTGTCCCTTTCCTCTGTAGTTGAAAGTTACTTTCCTATGGTACCTTTTTATCATCTGCGGTATCAATTCTGCATTTTATTATTTTCAGGATAGGTTTAATTTGCTATTGACTTTTAGTTTTCTTTTTTTTAATTTTTTTATTGGTTGTTCAAAACATTACATAGCTCTTGACATATCATATTTCATACTTTAGATTCAAGTGGGTTATGAACTCCCATTTTTACCCCATATACAGATTGCAGAATCACATCGGTTACATATCCACATTTTTACATAATGCCATATTAGTAACTGTTGTATTCTGCTACCTTTCCTATCCTCTACTATCCCCCCTTCCCTCCCCTCCCCTCCCCTCCCCTCCCATCTTCTCTCTCTATCCCATCTGCTGTAATTTAATTCTCTCCCAAAATCATGGAATTTGCAGGGAAATGGATGGCATTAGAGCAGATTATGCTAAGTGAAGCTAGCCAATCCCTAAAGAACAAATGCCAAATGTCTTCTTTGATATAATGAGAGCAACTAAGAACAGAGCAGGGAGGAAGAGCAGGAGGAAAAGATTAACATTGAACAGAGACATGAGGTGGGAGGGAAAGGGAGAGAAAAGGGAAATTGCATGGAAATGGAAGGAGACCCTCATTGTTATACAAAATTACATATAAGAGGTTGTGAGGGGAAAGGGAAAAAAAAAACAAGGGAGAGAATTAAATTGATTTTTAGTTTTCTTGAACTGTTCTAATATTACCCTATTTTCTTTGCACTTTCTCCTGTCCTTTCCTAATCACTTTTATTTTTCTCTTGATTTTATTTTTTTATAGTCTACTGAGACTCCTCAGCTATTTCTAGACATGTCCTCTTATAGGGAAGTAGGCAATTTTCAGAGATATGGTCTTCCTTTGATCTGTCAAGATTATTTTTATTCTCCATTGATTTGTAGTATTTTTATAGACACCCAAGTTTTTTCTCTTTGCTCATTTTTAAACTTGGCAAGATTTATCCATTCCATATCTATGCATCTATGTTTTAAGTTTGCTTAGAAAGGTTGCTACCAATATGCTCCCTGACTCCTTCACTTGTATAGTGATAGGTATTAAATCTCTCCAGACCCCATGTATTTCTGTCAGAGGTAGAATGGTAACTGGTGGCAGAGCACACAATGGAAGTAGTCCATCCCAGCTTGACAGAAAGGTGGTTGTCTCTGATTCAGTGGACAGAGAGTAGAGTGTAAATTGTATCTCATATCTTCAGGTGTTTTCTGTCTAATGAGGTGATGTTTGAGAGTATAAGAAAGAGACAGTTGAGTAGATATTTTTTAAGCTTCATCTGCTTATAGTTAATAAATACTTTCTCTTAGACTGTGGAAATGGCTTATCTTTTAGACTAAGCTTTAAAGATGAGTTATCATCTTCTAGTATTTCAGAAAACATACTCATATAACCTCAGAATCATTTAATAAAATAAGTTAAGTGTATTATCTTTTGCTCACTTTTTCTGCTTCTGACTTCTTTTATTTCACGGATGAACACATACATGTCATTTCCACCCCCCACCCCCCCGCGAACAGTAGTTCTTGATACTGACTGCACTTGGGGTTTCTAAAAACACTGATGACCAAGCCACAATCCAAATCTCTGTGCTTGAGGCCCACATGATTACTTAAAAAGACAAAAGTACCGCAGGAGATTTTACTTTGCAACTAAGGCTGAGAATCTGTTATAAAACCTTTGCTATTCAATTGTGGTCAATGAACCAGAAATATTGGCATCATATTTAAGTTTGTTAGAATCAGAATCTCAAGTCCTACTCCAGACTTTTTGGATAAGAATTTGTATATTATCGATGCTCTCAGGTGCCTTGTATGCATGTTAAAATTTTGATAAGCAATGCTTTAAACCATTGCTTGTCAAGCCATGTTACATATTAGAATAATATGAGGAACTTTAAAAGGAACCAGACTGATGTTGGGCCCTGCCTTCAGAGATTTCATTAGTTTAATCCTGGGTGTTTCCATAAGGACTGATATTTTTTAAAAATACTCACGCATGATTTAATACCAAGCTGAGATCAAGAACCATCAATCCTAAGAAGTTCTGAGTCTTTGGTGAAACTTGGAAATAACTCAGGTGGCTCAGATACTCCCTCTCATGTGTCAGTCACTATTTTTGGATCCCATACCTCCTTCCTCCTCTAATAATTTGAGGATCTTTATTGACATTTAGAACTTAGATCTCTCTTATCAGGGACAACTGTTTGGCATCCCAATGATCTCTAAGCAGCAGAACTTCACTTTTTTTAGTTTCTTTAGGAGTAATCATCTATCATTGTCCCTACTTCACAGTCAGTTCTGTTGCCTTGATAATTCAGTATTTAGTCACAGACTGAGACTTAAACTGTGTTCTCAACACCCTCCCCTTTGATTTGGGAGTTGTTATTCTGCATTGTGGGGATATATGAAATTTCTATGCTCACGACTTCAAAGAAAACTTCTAACCACTTAAGAAATATTTATTTTATTTGGAATGATTCCAAAGAAAGTCTTTTGAAGATATTACTGCAGGTGCCTCAAAATTCTTCAGAATTAAATTCCAAAGAGATAAAAGAAAACAATTCAAGAGAGCATTAAGTTCCTGTGCTAAGAATCTGGAAGTTTTATACTGTAAATTATACTGTAAATTGGAGTATGTATTTGTCAAGACATGGAATAATTTGAGCCCAAATTTCTGGAGCAGACACCAACTTAACAAAAAGTCTTTGGAGAAATGTTTAAATTTTGACACTTTTAATGTTTTGTTATTCCAATATGTGAGCAATATCAGTGGAATCCTAATTTATTATGTTACTCAATAAGCAATATAGTGTCCTTAGGAACCTGATTTAATCCTGCATTCAGATAAGAGAAAAAAGAGATTATGCTTATGTCACAGACATGAAATGACAGGTCCAGTCCACCAGATCTAGTAGTTGGGATGCAATTCCTAGGTGAGTTCAAGGATAGACCCAGATTTTTGGGTTGTATCATAGTGGTGGTGATGATGTTTTGATTATTCAAAAAAAAATTTGATACTCACAAATAAATCCTACGTACTTTTTCTA